TGTGTGTCATTCCCGCCCAACCATGAGTCTGTGGCCATAGTCACCCAGTCCCAGAATGGGCAAAGGAATTCACTGGCAGCATTACAACTGGCCTCGCCCGGGTTTCCTGGGCAGAGGCTAAAAACCCTGTGGGGCCAAGTAGGAAGCTGGGTTGGTGATTTGGTTCCTAGCCCTCCTGTATGGGAAGAGATGGACCAAATCCACAGAGAGAGTGACGGGGCTTCTTTGAGTTCCGGGGCCATAGGATGTGCAGCTGATCTTTGGGCTGGTGGGAAAGCCACGTAAACTCACATCATAGTCCCTTGTTGCTGTGCTGCTCGGGCAGAGGCTGAGGGAATGAATGACCACAATCGCACACATTGTGACATACGTACGAGTCAGTCTCAGTTTGAGGGGTTTGAGCGCTCTGTGACTCTCCACGTTGATGGTGTACGTTCTGAGTCTCCCGATGCCAGACTCTGCAGGTGCAGGCTTGACCGGAGGGGCAAATCCACGTGGGGATGCCGATCACCCTTTCCCACTGTTATCGTCGTCAAAGGACAGCATGAGGTCCTCTCTAGGCTGCAGGCAGCCCTTCCTTCTGGAACTTTTTGATTCAAACCGATCTCCTGGCTGGAAAACAGATGACAGGGAACAGGTGCAAGAGCACAGGACGCGCCTGAGGATGGACTGACTCCTGGCCCTGTGGTGGAGATTGGGGAGACTTTAAGAGAATGTAATCCATGGTCTCCCCCTTTTCTGCACCTCTGAGCTTGGGCAACCATGGAGTAGGTCTCCCACTGCAATTTCAAAAGGAGTGAATTTCTCTCTATCGGGAGAACACCTGGCCCTCAGCAGAGTGAGGGGAAGTAGCCAAGTCCACCCCATGCCGGTCTCTCAAACTCATTTAGAAAAAGCACTTTTTTTTAAAGATTTATTTATTTGAAAGTCAGAGTTACACAGAATGAGAAGCAGAGAGAGAGAGAGAGAGAGAGAGAGAGAGAGAGAGAAGTCTCCCATCCAGTGGTTCACTCCCCAGTTGGCCACAACGGCAGGAGCTACAACGATCCGAAGCCAGGAGCCAGGAGCTTTTTCCAGGTCTCTCATGCAGGTGCAGGGGCCCAATGACATGGGCCATCTTCTGCTGCTTTCCCAGGCCATAGTAGAGAGCTGAATCAGAAGAGGAGCAGCCGGGACTCAAACCGGCGTCCATATGGGATGTTAGCACTGCAGGGTGGCGGCTTTACCCGCTACGCCACAGCACTGGTCTGACAAAGTACTTTTGATGGTTGTATTCATGGGTTCTGTCTGTCCAGAGCTCTGGGGCCGGTTGGCCTAATATAGTTTCCAGGAAATAGTAAGTTATGGACACAGTGAAGGCAAGACCATCATTTGCAGCAATGGAGGGGGCAATCTGTACCTCAGGATAATCTTGGAATAATTCGGAGATCGGAATAATCTTGGCAAATAAAATCTTACCACTACTTGCGCAGTTTCTGACCGAGATGTTTTTGCCTCCACCCATCTGGAAACAGTACAAATATTTGTATCCTGCCTGAGGCATGTTTATCTCAGTAAAATCTATCTCCCAGGCCTAGATACTATGTCCCTGGAGTTTTCCTTGGCATTTTATTTTATTTTATTTATTTAAAAGTCAGAGTTACACAGAGAGAGGAGAGGCAGAGAGAGAAAGAGAGAGAGAGAGAGAGAGAGAGAGAGAGAGAGAGGTTTTTCCATCCACTGGTTCACTCCCCAGTTGGCTACAACGGCCGGAGCTGCGCTGATCCGAAGCCAGAAGCCAGGAGCTTCTTCTGGGTCTCCCACAGAGGTGCAGGAACCCAAGGACTTGGGCCATCTTCTACTTCATCTTTCCTGGGCCATAGCAGAGAGCTGGATCAGAAGTGGAACAGCTGGGACTCGAACTGGCACCCATATGGGATTCCAGCACTGCAGGCGGCAGCTTTACCCACTATACCACAGCACCAGCCCCTTCCCTTGGTCTTTGACTTGGGTTTATCTAGGTGCAGGCGGGGCATCTGAGGGCTGTTTGCTCACTCAGTCAGTTGGCGTAGCTGAGAAAAGAAAAACCTGTGACTTGATAAGCAGGACAGCCGAGTGTCCCCCAGATGGGCGGCTGAATGTGATTGTCTAGCCAGCCAGTGACCAAGACTAATTGGCAATACTATTTGTCTCTTGGCAATATCCAGCAGCCCAGAGTCCTTTTTCACCTGTTTATAGCTGAAGAGTCTTTTTTTTTATTTGATAGGTGGAGTTATAGACAGTGAGAGAGAGGGGGACAGAGAGAAAGGTCTTCCTTCTGTTAGTTCACTCCCCAAATGGCTGCTATGGCCAGTACTGCGCTGATCCGAAGCCAGGAGCCAGGTGCTTCTTCCTGGTCTCCCATGCGGGTGCAGGGCCCAAGGACCTGGGTCATCCTCCACTGCCTTCCCGGGCCACAGCAGAGAGCTGGACTGGAAAAGGAGCAACCGGGACTAGAACCCGGCGCCTATATGGGATGCCGGCACCGCAGGTGGAGGATTAACCAAATGAGCCACGGTGCTGGCCCTGAAGATTCTTCTTTGACCGAATAAGAGGGTGCCTCTGGTAAGCTGAGGGAAGGGGAGCCCTTTAGAAGTGTTAAAGGACTTACCGGAGGAAAGCTGCTTCCTTGGCTGTCCCCTCGGCTACCACCAGGGAATCTGGTGTTTGGTGTCCCGTAAGGTGAGTGACTGCCATCTTTTCTGGCAGCCATATAGCTTCTAGGGGGCTCAATTTTGTTTTTAGCCATTTATCCTTTAGCAGTAAGTAGCTCCCGTTCTCGTTAGTTGGCAGCATGAACGTAGATTGTTGCGGAAGCACACCGGCACTCAGTGTAGATAGCGAGTTCTTTATGGTTTCCCCGGCTCTCGGCTTGGGTGAGAGCAGTGAGTTCCGCCTTTTGAGCGGAGGTCCTTTGGGGCGAGGCCTGAGACCAAGTGACTTTGTCTTCGGTGGTGACAGCAGCGCCCGCTCTCCTAACCCTGTCTTCCTGTACTGTGCTACTCCCATGGGTGAACAAGGTAGATTGTGCACATCACTGAGATCAGACCGGGGCGCTTGGTTTGGGTCCAACAAATCAACGCAGCCATGTAACAGGGCTTCTTGGACCATCGTCTCATCAAGGGGTCGCTGGGTTGAAGCGAGTTGTTTTGAAGAACCTCAGTCTAGGCTGATTGAGAAGTGGAGTGGGTATTGGGCAAGGTGGGTCTTCGACATCCGGTGCCTGCTGGCATCCCATTACAGCACTTCCGCCACATGGGACGCTGTGAGGCCCAAGTCTTGCCCTGGTTTGTCTGCCTCTTTTGCCAGCATAGCAGTAGTGGCAATGGCCCCTGATGCCACCGGCTCTGATCTTTTGGGTAGATGGGTTGCAATGGCTGGGGCTGGGCCAGAGCAAAGAGCAAGGAGCCAGGAGCTTCATCCAGGTCTCCCATGTGCGTGGCAGGGGTCCAAGCACTTGGGCTTCCATCCACTGTTTTCCAGGTGCAGTAACAGGGAACCGGATAGGAAATAGAGCAGCCAAGGACTTGAACTGGTGCTCCAAAATGGGAGCTAGTGATGCAAGGGGGGCTCAGCCTGCTGCACCGCAACGCTGGCCCCCACCGATTGTTTCAAAGACGGGAGCTGGTTTCACTGGATTGGTGTATCGTGGGATAGTTGGAGCCTAATATGAATTTCCCATTTGCACGCATGCAGTTGTGTCTGTGAGAAACATTCGTGAAGGCAGGAAACTGTAGTAGCATAACTGAGCCCCGTAGGGACACATGCAACACATGGAACACCTGCTCCAGCTGTCTGCCGGCCGCCTGTTCCCACCATGTACACCCAGGTCAGTGTCGTTGCTGCCTGGGATGAGCGTGCGGGGACCTCCTCCCCTTCCAGGAACGCTCTGCTACAGCCCCTCCCCGCGCCCATTTCCAACATCACATTCCATTTTTTTCTGGGTAAAATGCATTGTTTCCTGTAGCGGTTATGTATTTTTTAAAAAGATTTATTTATTTATTTGAACATCAGAGTTACACAGAGTGAGAAAGCGAGGCAGAGAGAGAGAGAGAGCGCGCGCGCGAGCGAGAGCGCTCTTTTGTCTGCTGGTTCACTCCCCAGAATGGCTGCAAGACCCAGGACTGGGCCAGGCTGAGGCCAGGAACCTGGAATTCCATCCTGGTCCCCTGCATGGGTGGCAGGAGCCCAGGTACTTGGGCTATCTCCCACTGCTTTCCCAGGCACATTAGCAGGAGGCTGGATTGGAAGTGGAGCAGCCGGGACTCGAACCGGCTTATTGAAAGCAATAACTTAACTTGCTGTACCATGATGCTGGCCCAATGCTGTGATGTCCATGGCCTGGTTTTGCTTTTCAACTGTCAATGTCACGATGGACAAAACAAACAGCTAGGGAGATGATTGCGGGATGCTGTTGGAAACCGGCACACAGAACAAGCTGTAACTTAGACCAAAGGAAGCTGAGCCCAGGCCTGCCGTGGGAAGGGAGGGAGTTGCACAGGGCGCGCTCCTGCCGAGGTCTCCTGGGACGCATGGCAGAGTGCTGAATTGCAACAGGGCACCTGTGGCCTCTGGCAGAGCCCGCCTGAGGGTGACCTCAGGAAAGTCGCGTTCATCTATGCATTGTTTACTCAACAGTCATTTCAAGGACCTGACCACAGGCAGTGCAGTGTTTCTGGGGTGATTGCACGAGTCTTAGCAAGCTCGAATGATTTGCATGAAGAGATGGACTCACAAAAATGGCAGACACAACTCAAACCCCAGCACCTGAACCTCACCCACAGCATGCTTCCCACAGGGGGTCTTCCGGGTCCCATCACTCACTGGGGTTTTCTAAAGGTGGAGACAGGGAGTTCCGGGCCGGGCGCGCCAGGACCCTGCCCTTCTGCAAGCACTGAGCACACAGATAGGCATCGTCACGCTCCGGGGGCGCCCCGCACCGTGCACCACGCCTACTCACCACTCCCTGGCCCTTTCCCCAGACACAGCCAGCACCAGTTGTTTCTGAAGACAGAGACTCAGCGTGCAAGGAAAGACCGCCAGCGATGCAGGTACCACCTGTCTTTCAACACCATTTACTCGCTGGCATTTCTTTCTTTTTCTTTTCTTTCTTTCTTTCTTTCTTTCTTTCTTTCTTTCTTTCTTTCTTTCTTTCTTTCTTTCTTTCTTTCTTTGACAGGCAGAGTGGACAGTGAGAGAGAGAGAGAGACAGAGAGAAAGGCCTTCCTTTTCCGTTGGTTCACACCCCACGCTGCAGCTGGTGCACCGCACTGATCCGAAGCTAGGAGCCAGGTGCTTCTCCTGGTCTCCCATGCAGGTGCAGGGTCCAAGCACCTGGGCCATCCTCCACTGCACTCCCTGGCCACAGCAGAGAGCTGGCCTGGAAGAGGAACAACCGGGACAGAATCCGGCGCCCCGACCGGGACTAGAACCCTGGGTGCCGGCGCCGTAGGCAGAGGATTAGCCTAGTGAGTCACGGTGCCGGCTCTTTCTTTCTTTTTAAAATTAATTAATTAATTAATTTATAAGGCAGAATTGCAGAGAGAGAGAGAGAGAGAGGTCTTCCATCTGCTGGTTCACTCCCCAGATGGCCACAATGGCCAGAGCTGTGCCAATCAGAGGCCAAGAGCAAGGAGCTTCCTCCAGGTCTCCCACATGGGTGCAGGGGCCCGAGGACTTGGGTCCTCTCCTACTGCTTTTCCAGGCCATAATGGAGAGCTGGATCGGAAGTGGAGCAGCCAGGACTCGAACCGGCATCCATATAGTATGGCAGCACAGCCAATGATGGGTTAACCCACTTCACCACGCTATACCTGTCCAGCATTTCCTACTTCACTGTTTATCTACATGAAGGCAATCAGTCAATGCAGCTGCATGGCTAAAAAAGAATTCAAAACATCCAGAGGAGCCCAGAGAGGGAAAAAAAATCCACAAGTTCTCCTTCTATTTCCCTATCTCCCGCCCCACCTGCCGGTCCCGTGGGTAACCACTCGTGTCTTCACTTCTCTGGCAGGTGGAGGTTTTCCTGTCCACCTCAAGAGTACAAATGATTGCTCTCATTTTTCAGAGTATGCCCGGACCCACATTTCACGGTCACTGCACAAGCCAGGGTTAGTGGGGTCTGCCCGCTTGAGATCTGCCTTCTCCGCTTCCCCCAGCCCCGCCTCCGCCCCACCCCAACTCTCCAGCCCAAAACCTGGGTGTGGCTGAAACAATCTGTGAGTTTCATTCCAATGCATCATTGAAGGAGTTTTTTCTCCCCTGTGTCCTGTTTCCAAAGTCCTTCTCTGAAGCCACGCTGGGTCTGGATTTCTTGTATGAGCTCTGACCTCTCGACTCTCTGCACAGTGTAGACTCTTCACTCTCAGGGGAAGCGACTTTTTGGGTCTGTGGGGCTTAGCAGACTCCTATAATCTGTGACCGCGGAGCTGGAACATTTTCTTTGGTGACTTCTTTTCCTTCTATGTTCCCTTTCTGGATGTCTCCTTATTTAGAGCCCTCCTGAACCAGTTCTCTAGTTTTCTTGTTTTAAACAAGCATATATAATTTTTCTGAGTTCTTTTAAACTTTTTTTTTTTTTTTTTTACAAATTTGCTACTTTATTTATTTGAAAGACAGAGCAACAGAGATCTTCCATCTGCTGCTTCACTTCTCTAATGTCCACGGTGGTCAGGGCTGGGCCAGGCTGAACCCTGGAGCCCAGAACTCAACCTGGATCTCCCACATGGGTGACTGGAACCCAAGTACCTGAGCCGTCACCCCTCCCTCCCAGGGTGCACAGCTGGATCTGAAGTGGAGCAGCTGGGACTCGAACCTGAGCCCATATGGGATGCCAGCGGTGCACGCTGGGGCTTTAAACCTGCTACGCCACAGCGCTGACTCCTCTTCATATTATTTTCTAAGCCTTTTACTAAGCTTTTTGTTTATTTGATTTTTGATCATGTCTTTTTTAGCACCCACATTCTTGCTTCCTGGGTGAAATCTCTCCTCTTCTCTGACAATACAAAGAGGCTTTGAAAATGTCAGGAAACAATGGCATTTGAAAGCAGCTTCCGTGTATTGTGCTCGGCTGACTCCCATCTTGGAGATGCACAAATCGATTCCCGCAGAGGTTACTCCAAGGTCACACCGCCAGTCTGAGTGAAGGCAGAGCCCAGCCCTCCCAGCATGGCCCTGAGAAAGCCCACCTGCAGGAAGAGAGGGCATGGAGAACTTGGCGGGCCTGGCAGCAGAAATGGCCGCTCCTTTCAGCTCTGGAACCTGCTCCGACCCTGCCTCCCGTGCCCCTGTGAGCACCCAGCGCCTTGCTCCTCTGTGGACAGGGAGGTGCCTCCCGCAACCCCACAACTGGTTCCCACGGGCCCTCAGCCCCCCGACCTGCTCCATGCAGCACCTCTAGTGTCTCTCATTCATCAGATCTCTCTCTCTCTCTTTTAAAGATTTATTTATTTTATTTGAAACAGTTACAGAGTGGCTGAGGAGACAGAGAAAGGTCTTCCATCCGATGGTTCACTCCCCAGATGGCCGCAACGGCCAGAGCTGTGCAAATCCGAAGCCAGGAACCAGGAGCTTCTTTCGGGTCTCCCATGCAAGTGCAGGGGCCCAAGGCTTGTTCTATCTTCTACTGCTTTCCCAGGCCACAGCAGGGAGCTGGATCGGAAGTGGAACAGCTGGGACTTGAACCGGTGCCCATATGGGATGCCGGCACTACAGGCGGTGGCTTTACCCGCTACACCACAGCGCCAGCCCCAGGGCAAATGTCTTTTTAATTTTGAGAGCGTTTGCCAACTTGCTTTCCAAAGAGGATGTAGTGACCTCTGACCCCAGCAGCACAGCGGCAGGGGTGGGGGTGGGGCAGAGCTCTGGGGACATGCGGCCGCCAGCGTGGAAAATCACCCTCAGACAGGTCAGCCTCTGACCATGGGACAGCGGGACAGTGCTGTATTTCTTTGAGTGAGGTGAACTTTTTTTTTTTCCTGCTTGCTAACTGATTGTCCTTCTTCCCACTGTTTGTGAGTGGTCTGCTTCAGAGCAGAGCTGGGACCTGAACCCAGGAACTCTGAGATGGATGTGGGCATCCCAAACAACGCTTCTTAAAGGCTATGTATTGGTCAGCACCACGGCTCACTAGGCTAATTCTCCACCTGCGGTGCCGGCACCCCGGGTTCTGGTCCCGGTCGGGGCGCCGGATTCTGTCCCATTTGCTCTTCTTCCAGGCCAGCTCTCTGCTGTGGCCCGGGAAGGCAGTGGAGGATGGCCCAAGTGCTTGGGCCCTGCACCTGCATGGGAGACCAGGAAGAAGCACCTGGCTCCTGGCTTCAGATCGGCACAGCGCGCCAGCCCTAGTGACCATTTGGGGGGTGAGCCAATGGAGGGAAGACCTTTCTCTCTGTCTCTCTCTCTCTCACTGTCTATCTGTATTTTATTTATTTGAAAGGCAGAGTGACACTCACACATGGGAGGGGGAGGGAGAGGGAGGGAGGGGGAGAGAGAGAGAGAGAGAGAGAGAGAGAGAGAGAGAGAGAGAGATATCTTGTATCTGCGGGTTCACTCCCCAAATGCCTGTCACAGCAGCCAGGCCTGGACCTGGCTGAAATCAACATCTCCATTTGGGTCTCCTAGGTGGGTGGCGTAAACCCGAGTACTCGGGCCACCATCTGCAGCCTCTGAGGCATAGTACCAAGAAGCTGGGTTGGAAGTAGAGGTGGGACTGGGTGCTAGGCAGAACCCTGCCTGATCTGGGAGGTGGGTGTGATGTCTCGGGCCCTGCTCCTCTCCCCCACGGGGCTCTCCCCCGCCCCATAGTTCTTTCCCTGCTGTGTGTTTGGGGAGTACGCCAGCTGTCTGTCTGCCTTTCAAACAGATGAAAATGAAAGAAGAAGAAAAGCAGGAAGATTGTGCGAGGTGGGTGGAGCTGAGGGCCCCGGGGCCGGCGGACAGGGTCTGGATGAGCCTCCAGCCTGTGCCCTGCCCCAGCCAGGGACTTGCTCCGAGGCCTCTCCGGTTGGCTGGCCCTGTCCAGGATGTTTGTGCGTGCCACCTGGCACTGAGCGGGCACCTGGTGTGAACGAAGAGGCGGGAAGAGGCTGGCGAGGGCTGGAGCGGAGTGGCCAGGAACACTAAGGCTTCAGGGCGGGGATGAGAGGCCACGGGGACGGGGCAGGCTCTGGAATGGGGAAATGTTTCCCAACAAGGCTGGGGCTGCGAGTGGGGGTGGAGGTCTAAAAACTCCCAAGCCAGACGTCCTGGCCAGCCGCCCCAGGCACGAAGCTGGATCTAACTGCTGGCCGGAAACTGTGGCCCCAGGGGGAGGCAGAGGCGTGTGTGGGCAGGGTCACAGCCCCCTGCAAGAGTCTCTCTCTCTCTCCCTCTTTCTCTCTCTCTCCCTCCAGGGCAGAGGTGGACGGGGGAGGCAGCGTGGCGGTGCTGGAGCCCAGCTCCAAGGGCGCAGACCCCGTGCGGACTGGAGGTGGACAAACACGGCTGGGGGCTGAGTTGATGAGCCCCCAGGGTGAGGGGTGTGCAGATCCAGCCTTCCGTCCCTTTGCCTGCCCAGGGGTTTCCATCTGAAGTGGCCATCCAGGAAAGGCCTTCTATCCCCACTCTCCCCCGCCCAGGGCGCCCCCCACAGGCTTGGCCTGGGGTGACAACCTGGCCAGCTCGTGGGGTGGGGCCACAGGTGGGCCAAACGCTGGGGAGAACAGGGCCAGGGATCCAGGGATCCGGCATGTGGAGGGTGTGGCCAGCGTGGCCACTACTGCTTTCACCCCGTTGAAAGTGCTGGGATTTGCTGTCGATGGCTTCTGGTGTTGGAGCTGGGGGACCTTAGACAGGAGAGTGGCCATGTGAGGGCGTGGGCAGGAGTGTGCTAGTGGAACAGAAACCCATACACGCAGACATGCGTGTGCACATGTGTGGCGGTGTGGGCACAGCAGAGCCACTAGCCTTCCCTGACTGGCTCCGAAAGTGGTCTCCCTGGCTGTCGCCTCCCCACCGCTCCCCGCGCGGTGCGTGTCTGCAGGTGCCCCCACCCCTGCTCCCAACACCGAAAGCCTGGGCGCAGAGGGCGGAAGCTTGAGCCCCAGGAGGGGCCTGGCGGTGGAGCAAGGTAGCCTGCGGCCAGCCCCGCCCCTACCTGTGTCGGCCCAGCTCTCCACACCCGCTCGCTCGCTCGCAGCAGATAAAAGGGGCTCAGCCGGCCGAGGTCAACGAGTTCGCTCACCGCTTCGCCCGCCGCTACCTGCAGCCAAGATGTCCATCCACTTCCGCTCGCAGGCGTTCAGCTCCCGCTCCGCGGCCGTCCCGGGCCGCGGCGCGCAGGTGCGCCCGACCTCGGGGCGCTCGCTCCGGCTGGGTAGCAGCAGCCTCTATGGCCTGGGCGCCTCGCGGCCGCGTGTGGCCCTGCACTCTGCCCATGCGAGCCCAGGGGGCGCCGGCATCCGCGAGGTCACCCTTAATCAGAGCCTGCTGGCCCCACTGCAAGTGGACATCGATCCCTCCATCCAGCAGGTGCGCCGGGAGGAGCATGAACAGATCAAGACTCTGAACAACAAGTTCGCTTCCTTCATCGACAAGGTGAGCCTGCGGGAACCCACCCTGGGAATGTCGAGGACCCTGTTCCTTCGCGGCTTCCCCCTCCCCCTCCCCTGCACCCCCCCCCCCCAATCAGCGCCAAGCCTTCTTTTCCAGCGCGCTGCCCACAGCCCCGCCCTCTGCTCCAGGAATGCGCGCCCAGGTTCTGTCTGGCTGCCCTGGCTAGCTGTAGTCCCCTGAGGCTCACTTTCTCTCTGGGGCCAGCCTTGGCACGCGTTGTCAGAGTGTGAGCTTTAGAGGTCAAGGCCAGGAGGTCCCCTCCTCGCGGGTCTCTCCCTGAGTGTGGGCTCAGCGATTGGCCAGGGGAGACCTGGGCTCCTTCAGGTGCTGTGGGTACTGAACCAGCGCTGGAAACAAAGGGCGGGCAGCTCCCGGCCCCTCCCAGCTGGCTAGGTCCTCCGCCTCTTTGGTGGCAGAGGTGATGTCCCTGCCCCTTTGGGGGCAGGAAGTGGCAGCGGGGGCTCCGAGAAGGGGCCATTTGGGAGGTTTTTGTTTCTGTCTGCTGTGCTGTACCTGGGTCCCTGGTGGGGAGGGGCAGGCTTGGGGTGGGGGAGGAGTAGGGTAGCCTGGAAGGCGAGGGGCCAAGTGGGGCTGGACCTAGGAGGAAGGGCGAGCTCCTCCCTCAGGCTGCCTTTCCCTGGCCTGCCTCCGCTCCTCTCTGCCCCTACCCTCCATGTTCTGTCCTCTCCCACTTGGGCACCTGTCCTCCAGCCCTGCTGCGGCCTCTCGGCGTGGCCCCAGGCCCCGGTGCCCGTCCCTCACTGTGGAGTTGCACTTGTCAGGGGCTGCCAGGTTGCTGGATTTCGGGAGACTTCTCTTGCCTCCCACCAGAGTCAATCCATGGGGGTGGGGGTGGTTCAAGGACCACCGGGGGCCCCACGGCTGGGTGCATCAGAGGTTGAGAGGAGTGCCTGGTCCTGGGGCCTTGCTGGAGCTGAGGGGACGGAGAGAGAGGCTGGGGGGGGGGGGTAGGGGGAGGAGCAGGAATGGAAGGGCAGGGGGCAGCCCTTCAGAGACCACCCGCCAGGCGACCCGGAGGAGACCCTAAGGCACATTTGTGGAAAGTTGGACAATGAGTGTGCTGGAAGCCAGGCCGACCTGCTTCCTGGATCACGCTCCTCCTGACTTCAGACAGCGCTGGGGAGGAGAGGCACCTGGGGCGGGGCCGGGGCAGGGCTGCATAGGGGAACAGCCAATGGGAGCGCGGGCGGATGGCGCTGTTGGGGGGCCCTCCTGAGTTCCCTCCTCCTTGCCCCCTCCAGGTGCGCTTCCTGGAGCAGCAGAACCAGCTGCTGGAGACCAAGTGGGCGCTGCTGCAGGAGCAGGGGTCGCCCAAGAGCAGCCGCCTCCCCAGCATCTTGGAGGCGCAGGTTGCCGGCTTGAGGGGGCAGCTGGAGGCGCTGCAGGTGGACGGCGGCCGACTGGAGGCGGAGCTACGGGACATGCAGGATGCGGTGGAGGACTTTAAGAATAAGTAACGCCCCCTCCAGGCTGCCTGGGACCCTCTGCAAGCCCCCGCCCTGTGTGCAGCTGCCCAGTGCTAGGACTCCCGGAAGCTGCTGTCACATACCCCCATCTGCCCACTATCTTCTCTCTTCCCTGGGGCTGTCTCCAGGGCCTACTGGTCTTTTCTCTTCACTCAGCTCAGCCCTGACCTGCATGCTTGCTTGTGGACAGGGCCCTGAGAGAGGCTGTGGGCAGAAAGTGTCCATGGTAGGGTGCTTCGGAATTAGGCGACCCTCTTAGATCATTCTAGAACAGCTCTCTTGTTCACGTGGGGCTTTAGAGACCAGACACTTGCAGGCACTAACATCAGGAGAGCTGGGACTTGAGTTTTGGATCTTCTGTTCCCAGGAGGAGAGAAAGAAACCAAAAGGGAGGAGAGCCGTTGTGGGCCTTGGGAGGGGTGTGGTTAGGGCGGAGTCAGACAGGAACCAGGAGGAGGGGCTGCGAAGGCTGGGCCCTGGAGGACAGGTCTCAAGGGCTCTCTCCTTTCTCAGTGAATAGAAACCAAAGCCCCAGGCTTGAGTTGGGCTCCAGCCTGGCACACACAGGGACAGCCAGTGCGGTCTGTTTTCCCTGCGTTGGTTTTGACTGGATCAGAGCAAAGATGGCCTCTGTGATGTGACCCCCCCCCCCCCATCCTACTTCCCTAAGGACAAAAGTTGACAGGATTAATCTCACAGCAGGTGGACTCAGGGGCAGGGCAGGGCAGGCGTGGGGGAGCCAGCCAGCTCCTGTTGTCAGGGCCTGCACGTGTATATACCCTCCACTGCTTCCTCCTGGGGAGGAGGGCTGAGCTCCAGGCTGGGGATGAAGCAGGAGCTGGGAGGGGGTGCCAGGCAGTGGCCAGATGCATGGCTGCTTAGGGAGCTTTGAGCTGAACACCTTCTGGGTGCAACGGTGCAGTGCTGGGTGGGGGTTGGAGGACAGCCAGCCTCTCAGATGATTCCCTAGAGCCCCCAGGACATGGGGGAGTGGGACTTTGGGGGTATAGACATCTCCTACCCTCGTCTGGGCTCCTGGAGGGGCCCCGGGTTGTCTGGGCACCCTGTTCCCACAAGCTCACAAGCTCTTGCCGACACACATTGTGGGTCCCCCAGTGCACCCTGAGTTAGGCCAGCATGCTTTTGCCACTGTATCTTGTCTGCCTCCCTGAGGCTGGCTCCTGGAGAGAGAGAGAGGTTGGAGGGAGAGGCTGTGGGAGCAGAGGTGGAGCCATATAACTGGGATGTGGTTAGGCATGAAGTCTGGAGTCAGCTGCCAGGAGCCAGGAGCTTTTTCCGGTCTCCCACATGGGTGCAGGGGCCCAAGGACTTGGGCCATCCTCCACTGCTTTCCCAGGCCACAGCAGAGAGCTGGATCAGAAGTGGAGCAGCTGGGTCTCGAACCGGTGCCCATATGGGATGCGGGCACTGCAGGCCAGAGCATTATCCCGCTGAGCCACAGTGCCGGCCCCTCCTTTTCTCCTCCTCCTCCTCCTCCTTCTTCTTCTTTTTGACAGGCAGAGTGGACAGTGAGAGAGAGAGACAGAAAGGTCTTCCTTTGCCGTTGGTTCACCCTCCAATGGCTGCTGTGGCTGGCGCGCTGTGGCCGGCGCACTGCGCCTATCCGAAGGCAGGAGCCAGGTGCTCCTCCTGGTCTCCCATGGGGTGCAGGGCCCAAGCACTTGGGCCATCCTCCACTGCACTCCCTGGCCACAGCAGAGAGCTGGCCTGGAAGAGGGGCAACCGTGACAGAATCCGGTGCCCCAACCGGGACTAGAACCCGGTGTACCGGCGCCGCAAGGTGGAGGATTAGCCTAGTGAGCCGTGGCGCCGGCCTCCTTTTCTTCTTTAAAATATTTATTTGGAAGGCAGAGCTTCAGAGAGACCCAAAGAGATCTTCCATCTGCTGGTTCACTCCCCAAATGACCACAACAGCCAGGGCTGAGTCAGGCTGAAGCCAGGAGCCTGGAGCTCCATCCAGGTCTCCCATGTGGGTGGCAGGGGCCCAGGTGCTTGGGCCATCTTCTGCGGCCTTCCCAGGTGCATAAGCAGGGAGCTGGATCTGAGTGGAGCAGCCGAGACTCAATTCAAACCCATGTTTATGTGGGATGCGGGCGCCGCAGGTTGCCACTGCACTGGTTACTACACCGGCCCTTGCATTCCCTTGTCTGAGAGTCATGGCCCCACGGTTACAGGCTGGCTGTGAGGATGAAGTGAACCAAGGCTCGGGGCCCAGGGGAAGCAGTCGGAGTTGTATTCGCTGCTTTCTTGTCCCCAGGATATCCAACCTTTGTCCTTTCCCTCCCCTGCCTTCTGCGTGCCCTGCCCCTCCCTCCTCAAGCCAAGATTCAGAGCCTAGGGATAGCCAGGTGGACCTCAGGGAGGTAGGGTTTAGTGGCCTGGACACCTGCTTGCCCAGGTGTGTCCCAGGGGAGGGGGAGGGGTGAGGGATAGGGATAGGAGGGGCGTGAGGCAAAGCTGCACCCACACCATGCCCCTCGTCTGCCACAGGTACGAAGATGAAATCAACCACCGCACGGCTGCTGAGAATGAGTTCGTGGTGCTGAAGAAGGTACCGGGGGCAGTCAGGCCGGGGGGGGGCTGAAACCTCAGGGGACCGGGCCAGGGGTCTCTGTCGCTGAGCAGCCAGTGGGACCTGCTGCCAGTCTGGCTGGGCTGTACAAGAGGGGAGAGGGACAGAGGGGCTGGAGCTCATGCCGGACCTGGGTGTGTGTGTGTCCATTTGTATGTGTGAGTCCATGTGTGTGTCCATGTGTCTCTGTGTGTATGTGCATGTGTGTGTCCATGTGTGTGTATGTGTGAGTCCATGTGTGTGTATGTGTGTCTCTGTGTGTATGTGTGTGTATGTGAGTCCGTGTGTGTGTCCGTGTGTCTATGTATACATGTATGTCCATGTCTGTCTGTATGTGTGTATGTCTGTGTCCATGTGTGTATGTGAATGTGTCCATGTATATGTGCGTCCATGTCTGTGTGTGTATGTGTGTCTGTTTGTATGTGTGTATGTGTTTGTGTATATGTGTATGTGTCTGTGTATATGTGTGGGTCCATGTATATGTGTCTGTGTATATGTGTGTATCTTGTATATGTGTGTGTCCATGTGGGTGTATGTGTGTGTATATGTGTGTGTCCATGTGAGTGTATGTGTGTGTATATGTGTGTGCCCATGTATGTGTGTATCCATGTGTATATGTGTCCGCATGTGTATGTGTGTCTGTATGTCTGTGTGTGTCAATGTCTGTGTGTATGTCCGTGTGTGTATGTGTGTCCATGTGTGTATGTGTGTGTCCATATATGTGTGTGTGTGTGTGTGTGTGTGTGTGTCCAGAGAGTGACTATACCGCCACTTAGGACCTAGAGCAGGGAAGCAGGTTGGAGAGGGAGCGGTCAGCCGGGAATAATAGTGTCCTGTTGCTGGCTGACCGTTTCCCGCTAGGCCAGGGCTGCATGCGGCCAGCTTCGGCTCCCTGCTGAATGTGTGCGATGAGCCGTCTCTGCCCTCTGCAAGCAGGTGGTGGCGGGATGCTGGTGGGCTGTGGGAGGGCTTCGAGCGTCACGCCCTGTGGGGTCCTGAGTCAGGGCCACACCGAGGCGGCTCGGCGTTCCAGCCGCTCTGCAGCCACGCAGCCTGCACAGCACGTGGACCCTCAGGGGTGGGTGTAACCCCCAGAAGGTGCAGCTGGAAGAGGAAGCTGCCTGCTCTTCCCTGGCCCAGGCCGCGGTTAAGCAGGTCCCCTGAGGTCGGCTGAGCGTTCCCGCCTGCGGGAGCCTTCCTGGTGTTGTAGTCCCCTGTTGACTGATGAGAAGCCGGGGTTTGCAGAGTTGAGTGGTTTGCTCCCAACCACATGGCTAGTAGATGGCAGAGTCAGGGGTGTGCCCAAACCCTCAGAGCCTTCTGGAACCGGCCAGGTGTAGGTTTGCAGCTTTGGCTGCCCTGAGCTACCCGTGCAGAGAAGGCGCCTTGATCCTGGGCTGCATGGGCTGGGCAGGGCTGGCTTGCTCCTGCCGCTTCGGGGCACGTGCTGAGGGGGTGCCCGCCCCTGCCCCCTCCCCAGGACGTGGACGCCGCCTACATGAACAAGGTGGAGCTGGAGGCCAAGGTGGGGGCTCTGAATGACGAGATCAACTTCCTGAGGGCCCTCAATGAGCAGGTGAGACCCTCGGGGGTGCGGGATGTGCCGTGTCGTCTGAGTCCTACCCGGGAGCCGCAATGCCAGCCCCAGGAATAGCTATATATTTTTTAAAGGTTTTTATTAATTTATTTGAAAGGCAGACTTACAGAGAGAGGGGGGGGGGTCTTCCATCCACTGGTTCACTCCCCAGATGGCCACATCAGCCAGAGCTGGGACCGATGCGAAGCTGGGGCGGTCTGTGCAGCCTCTCCTCTCATGTCTTTTCCTGCGTTCGTGAGGATCCTCAGGGTGGGTGCGGGCACAGAGGGCTGGGTCGCGCCCACGTCCCCGCGTTCTGCTTTGGTTCCTGCAGGAGATCCGCGAGCTGCAGTCCCAGATCTCCGACATGTCCGTGGTGCTGTCCATGGACAACAACCGCTCCCTGGACCTGGACAGCATCATCGCCGAGGTGCGCGCCCAGTACGAGGACATCGCCCAGAGGAGCAAGGCTGAGGCCGAGAGCGTGTACCAGACCAAGGTGGGTGCTGCTGGGGGCATTTTCCCTCCTCTGCCAGGGCCTGCATGGCTGGCAACTTCCTGTCCTCCTGGCCTTGTCTCAAGCCTTGGGCCTGCCTGCGGTCCCACCGTTCTGGCAGATCCAGTGGCTGAGGCCGAATCCGTAGCCCAGCTCTGTTAGGGAGGCACCATTAACTGTTCCCATGTTAAAGATGAGGACAATCGAGGCACAGAGGCATTTCATACTTTGCCCAGTGCCTCCAGCTAGACAGAGCAGCAAGAACTACATCCTGAGTCCTGGGACTTCAGACTGGGAGGCCTGTGGAGGTAGACAGCTGAGGGGTACAGGTGCTAAGGGCAGGAAGGGTGCTGGGTGAGCCGGGGGAGGAGGGAGCCCTGGGCAGGGTTTCAGAGAGATAAGGGCCCCAGGGTTCAGACTCTCATTCTGCCATGGGTTTGCTATGATCCCTGGATGGGGCTTTTTAGGGACTCTTCTTGTCTCTGAAATGGGTGGTGCTGCTAAGGGGGTGTTGGAAGGGTGAGGGTCTCAGACTTGCCACAGTGGGAAGAGCCCTGGGGTCAGGGACTATGGGCCCTGGGAAGCTACCTTTGCCTTCCCGGTGCTGGCTGGGAGGACACTGCTGCCCCACGGCCTGGAGGTTGGGTGAGGGTGGCTGGGCGCTGGCACACAGACGCTGGGATGCGGGGAGGACCTACCCTGCCCACCCCTGCCAAGCGGCTGTGTCTGGCCCCTGCAGGTTGAGACCCTCCAGGCCCAGGCTGGGAAACATGGGGACGACCTCCGCAGTACCCGGAATGAGATCTCCGAGATGAGCCGCGCCGTGCAGAGACTGCAGGCTGAATTGGACGGCGTCAAGAACCAGGTGGGGATGAGCCCTCCTCCTCCTCCTCCTCCTCCTCCTCCTCCTTGCGCCTCCCTGCTGCCCAGAGCCAGGCGTCGAGCGGGAGTGGATGCTGGAACAGAGGGTGTCAGGCCGCCCACCTGGGGCCAAGGCTGCTGCCCTGCACGTGTAGGGCCAGAGGGAAGACAAGAGCCCAGGCCAGGCCTGGTGTCTGTGCAGGGGCCCCAGGCTGGCCGAGGGAGGAGGATTTGGGGCGGAGACTGAAGGTGAGAAGGGTGGAAGGGGGAGTCCTGTGCTGGGGAGAGGGAGGCTGGGCGTGGCAGCTCTGGGGGCTTCAACCAGCTGAGGCCTGGGGTGAGGTAGGCTCTTGGGGGTGCGAGAGCTCCAAGGCCAGCTAGGGAGAGGCCGCTGCCTAAGGCAGACGTAGGTCCTCCCAGCCAGGCCTTCCCTGCCCAAGCCCACGGGCTGCAGATCCTGGCTCCACAGCATCCAGGAGTGACTCGTAGGGTTTGTCCACTCCAGGCTCCCTGCCCTGGACGTGTCCCCAACTGGGGGACTCAACTAGTGTCTAATGGGCTTTGGAGCTCCTGCAGCCAGGAGCTGGGAGACTGGGCACTTGTAAATTGTAACAGCATTTATTAAGCACTTGCTGGATGCAGGTAAGGTAGACACTGTGCTTTGGCTCAGAAGGGGTTGACTCATCCAAGGTCACACGGCCAGAAAGTGGCTGAGTCAGGATTGGAGCCGAGGCATCGGCCATCCAAGCCGCCCCCTCCCCCACCCCGTGTGGAGCCCCCGCGGTTCCTCTGTGCTTGGGGGAGTCCGCAATGCCAAATGAAGCTGCCTGCAGCAAATCGCCCAGGTGCTTGCCGGGTAGACAGGGAGGCAGATGCAGGGGGAGCCCTGTTTCCTCGCCCCCCACCACGCCCTGCTCACAGCCCCACCTCCTCCCACAGCGTGCCAGGTTAGAGGCCGCCATTGCCGACGCCGAGCAGCGCGGGGAGCTGGCCCTCCAGGACGCTCGTGCCAAGCAGGCCGAGCTGGAGGAGGCCCTGCAGCGGGCCAAGCAGGACATGGCGCGGCAGCTGCGCGAGTACCAGGAGCTCATGAATGTGAAGCTGGCGCTGGACATCGAGATCGCCACCTACCGCAAGCTGCTGGAGGGCGAGGAGAGCAGGTGCGGGGCTGGGCGCTGGGAAGGGGCGTCCCGGGTGCCGAGGAGTGTCTGGGGCTTGCCAGTCATCCGTCCACAAGCATTTCCTGCGTGCGCCTCTCTGACGCGCGCCGGGGTGGGCGGTGCCTGCCGCCCTGCCCTCTATGAGAAGGTCTGCCGGATGTCAGTGGGAAAGGGAAGTGATAGCACTTCCGTGTGCGTGTGCGTGGCTGTTGGTAGGGTCACCTTATTCGGGCCTCAGAGCACATCCAGGCCAGCGGGTCAGGTACCGTGGGTTCTCTGGTCTACTGGAGAAAGCCAGGGCTCATGTGCAGGCCAGGAGTGCTGCTGCCTGGGCCCGGCGTTGGCCACATCGCCGGCGGCTTCCTGTGTCACCCCTTCGGGTAAATCACGCGATGTTGTCCGAATGTTGGGGAGGAGGATTCTTGCCTCTGTTCCGGGGTGTGTGTGTGGGGGGGCTGGGATAGGTTAGTCTTTTTTTTTTTATTTTTTAAAGATTTATTTATTTATTTATTTGAGAGGTAGAGAGAGAGAGAGAGAGAGAGAGGTTTTCCATCTGCTAGTTCACTCCCCAAGTGGCTGCAACAGCTGGAGCTGGGCTGATCCGAAGCCAGGAGCCAGGAGCTTCTTCCGGGTCTCCCACGCGGGTGCAGGGGCCCAAGCACTTGGGCCATCCTCCACTGCTGTCCCAGGCTGTAGCAGAGAGCTGGATCAGAAGTGGAGCAGCTGGGATTGAAACAATGATCCGTGGTGCTGGCATCGAAGGGGGCAGCTTATCCTGCTGCACCACAAAGCCGGCCCTGGGTGGTTGATGCTTTCAGCCTTGGGGGAGGACGAGGGTTTAGAGGAGGTGAGAAGTGGCAGTGAGAGCAAAGGCGGGAAGTAGGACTCATCACGCCTGCCTGGGAGACCTCCGCCACGCCCCCACTCCCGTTGAACCCAATCATGAGTGAGGCAGAGAGAGAACACGTGAGCGTGCAAAGACGAGCGCCTTGCATTTGCACGAGGCTGAGTTTGTAAAACTTCTCTTTTGCAGGGAGCACTGGGGACAGGAATGGAGCAGGGAGGAAGGGGGTGGGGACCAAGGGCGTTCGAGGGCAGAGTGCCGGGTGCTGGCAGGAGGGAGAGACGGACATGGCAGCTGGAAGCAGAGGCACGAGAAGTGTATTTGCCCCTGGCTGTGTGGGCACCTGCTTTTTGGGCGAAGCAGAATAAGACATCCAAGCTTCTAGTCAGGGGTGGGCATTTGGCCTAGTTGTTAGGAAACCGTGTACTACATCAGAGTGTCTGGGTCTGAGCCTTGCTCTGGCTTCCTGCTCATGTAGACCCTGGGACAGAGCATGCTGGCTCCAGTAATTGGGTCTCATTCACCTGGGAGACCTGGATCGAGTAGCCTGCTTTGAACTGACCCAGTCACAGCTACTGCAGGCATTTGGGGGATGAACCAGCAGATGGGAGTGGCTTCTGTCTCTCAAATTAAAGAAAAAAGATCCTGGGGCTGGTGCTGTGGTGCAGCAGGTTAAAGCCATGGCCTGCAGTGCCGGCATCCCATATGGACACCAGTTTGAGTCCTGGCTGCTCCACTTCCGATCCAGCTCTCTGCTATGGCCTGGGAAAGCAGTAGAAGATGGCCCAAGTCCTTGGGCCCCTGCTCTTGTGTGGGAGACCCGGATGAAGCTCTTGGTTCCATTGTGACTATCTGGGGAGTAAACCAGCAGATGGAAGATCTCTGTCTCTCTCTCTCTCGTCTGTCTCCATGTAACTCTGATTTTCAAACATATAAATAAGTCATAAAAACAAATTCTTTGGGAAGAGAGAAGCTAATCTGGGGCCCAGGGCAGCTCTAGCCATGATGCCTCTCTCGGCACCTCCTCCCCCATGTTTATAGGGGCCCTTACTCTCTCAGTGACCTCATGGAGGTCACACCTGGGGGCCCCTCAAAGTGGGACCTGAGTCAGCTTCCTGCCATAGGCTAAAGAGGGAGTTGGAGCTCAGAGAAGGCAAGTGACATGCCCAAGGCCACACAGCAGGTGGAGGTGACATGATCCCAGGCCAGGGTGCCACCATCAGGCCGCATGAGGTCCTGGTTCTCTGAGGGGACACCACTGTTTCCATGTCCACTCCCGGGGGACATGGAGGAATATGCCCTGCTTTCCCCTGTCAACCTCAGCCCTTCCCAGGGGGCAGGCCCAGGATTGTGATCCACAGGCTCAAGCAAGAATGCAAGGTGGCAAATATAAAAGCAGGCACAAAAAAATAAGTGTGTATGTAGAGTGGGAAAGCAGAAAAAGCACAGAAATCATTAGAGCCTGGGACGTTCATGCCTTTTCCTTCTGGGTTCTTTAGAAGCTGTACTAGATTTTTTTAAGATTATTTGTTTGAAAAGGAGAGAGGGAGAGAGGCCGGTGCCGTGGCTCACTAGGCTAATCCTCCGCCTTGCGGCGCCGGCACACCGGGTTCTAGTCCCAGTTGGGGCGCTGGATTCTGTCCCGGTTGCCCCTCTTCCAGGCCAGCTCTTTGCTGTGGCCAGGGAGTGCAGTGGAGGATGGCCCAGGTGCTTGGGCCCTGCACCCCATGGGAGACCAGGAGAAGTACCTGGCTCCTGGCTTCGGATCAGTGTGGTGCGCTGGCCGCAGTGCGCTGGCCGCGGCGGCCATTGGAGGGTGAACCAACGGCAAAAGGAAGACCTTTCTATCTCTCTCTCTCACTGTCCACTCTGCCTGTCAAAAACAAACAAACAAACAAACAAAAACAAAGAGAGAGAGTGGGAGAGAGAGAGAGAGAGAGATCCTCTAGGGTGAGAACCAGGAGCTAGGAACTCCATGCACGTCTCCCACATGAGTGCAGGGACACAAGCACTTGGGCCATCCTCCACTGCTTTCCCAGGTGCATTAGCAGGGAGCTGAATGGGAAGTGGAGCAGCCAGGACTCGAACCGGGGCTCATGTGAGATGCTGGCACCGCAGGCCGTGGCTTAACCTACTGCACTGCAGTGCCAGCCTCTAAGACAGAACCTGTTTCAACTTCAGTCTGCTCAAAGCCACCCCACCCAGCCCCTGTTAACTCATTATTCCAGAACACAGCGAGAAATAACTCCAGCACCTGGGGCTGGAGATATGGGAATCAGCCGGTAGCGGCTTGGGAAGGGAGGCAGCCCACTGCCCACCATGGGCACATGAGGGGTCCTGAGGAAAGGTCATGGAAAATGTCATCAAAGATTAGCTTGCTTGGGCACAGAGAATGTTGAATGTCCATCCCTAGTTTTTTGTAGTACACATTTTCCATGAATTTTTGGAAGACCTCATGAATACATAGGAGCTGCCAAGTCCTGAGTGTATCATTTAACCTTCAAAAACAAGCGCGTGACCTTGGGCCTGCAGTCAGGTTCAGCTTACAGGTGGCAAATGGAGGTCCCAAGGCAGGGCCCAAGGTCCTGGGGCCAGGAGGTGGAAGGGCCGGAGAGAGCCCTCCCTCCCTTTGCTCATTGCACAGCGAGGCTGAGGGCTGGCTGGAGGGGTGGGGGCAAGGAGGACCCTGCTTGGGGTGCTGAGCTCTGCTTCCTGCCCCTTGCTTTCATGGTGCTGCCCTCTGTCCCCAGGTTGGCGGAAGATGGAGCCGGAGCTGTGAACATTTGTAAGTCCCAGAAGGGAGCTGTGGTCCCTGTCTGTGCTGTCCACACTGGGCTGGGTGTTTCGAATGGCAGCTGACCCATGGGCAGGTGGGGCAGGGAGCCCCTGGGAGCCATGCCCCAGCACGTCAGAGGCTCCTCATGGTGGGGACAGGTGGCTGGGGGGGGGCAGGGTGCCTGATGGGGCCTCCAGCTGATAGAGCCCTGCTGTCTTCTCCCCTAGCTGTGGTGAACTCTACAGGTGGCGGTGGCAGCGGGCTCACCTTCAGGGGGACCATGGGCAGCAATGCCCTGAGCTTCTCCAGTGCTGGGGGGCCCGGGACCCTCAAGGCCCTCAGGAGCATCCGCAGCTGAGCCTCAGGTGTGAGGAGACCCACGTCCCCTTGGCACACAGGCACGGGGACTCCTCTGCCCGCCTCCCACCCCCGCCTCCGTGGGTCCCAGGACCATCCGAACGTGAATGTGGATGTCAGGGAAACTTCCAATAAAACAGCTGCTTCCTGAGGCCTGGAGAACCCACGTCCATGTCTGTGCTTTGTTAGGGCGGGGTGTGGGGACAGGGTCAAGGTCAGGGTCTGTGCATGAGGTAGGGAACACACAGGTGACAAAGCAGTCATGGGCACTGGGACACCTGCTCCCAGGGCAGCCTGAGAGCCCATGCTAGTGTTTGCAACCCCTGCCCCTAGTCCTGTGTAGCCACCTGCATTCCAGAATGTTCAGGCGCCCCAGGCCGGGCTGCTGTGGCTTAACCAGCTTGCATATCTGCTGTCCTGGGGCCCTTCCTGCTGCCTGGCTGGGGTCTCAGGACCCTGGATAGCATGTTTTTGGGATTCTCTGGGTGGGGAGGGACATCTGTGTCTGTGTGTGTGCGTGTGTGTGTCTCATGTGTCATGTTTTGGTCACTGGCAAGGCAGAGGACCAGGCTGTGGATCTGGATCCTTGGGTGGAGGGGTGTTGGGACCCCTGTGTGTTAAGCCCATGCTCCAGGGCGACCTTCCTATGTCAGGGTCTCTGCTGAGGAGGGCGAGTGTCAGGCACTCCGGGCCTGTGCATGGGGACATCTGTCCCCAACAGAGGCAGCACGTGCCATCACTGGTGCTGGGCGAGAGGTGACCGTGGCAGGTGGGGGTGTGGGGCGGCTACCTGGAGGTGCTGGCTTCCGAGGGAGAGATTGGGGCCTCTGTCCACAGGGGCAGAGGTGGGAGTGGAGAAAGGGGACAACTGGCTGCCAGCAGCCAGCAGTGATGAGTCAGGGTGGTGTTGGGAAGGCCCAGCCCTTTCCCCCCTGGCTGGCGCCCTCCTGGTCCCGTGTGTCCAAGTTGGGGGTTGAGGTTTGTCCCTTGTACCCTTTAGGATGTAGTGTGTGTGTGTGTGTGTGGCGGGGGAAGGTCCCCAGCTGAGAACAGCTCTATGTGGGTCTCTAACCAGGCTGGGGCTGGGTGGGAAGGCAAAGTGAGCAGGACAAACTCAGACAATCAGAGCACATTATTAGCTTTATTGGAAAGTTGGAGTTCAAGCGGGGTGGGGGTGGGGTGGAAGGATGGCCCCTCGGGGACGCCACATCCCAGGGCTCTGGGGCCAATCTGTCCATTGGAATCCACGGGTCTCCAAGCTCCCAGGGCAGCGCGGGGAGGGGACTGGGTGTTTGCCCAGGGCCTGGAGGAAGCCGGCCACTGAGATGTGGCGTTTGAGCGTTCGGCCGGCCGCCTTGGAGGAAACGCGGCTCTGCAGCGGGGAGCGGGTGCAAGAGCACGCGGCAGGCCGGGCCGCTGGGGCGCCGGGAGCCCTTCAACTCAGAGACGCCGCCGCGGGAGCAGGGGCTGCGGTTCGCAGCGGGGACACTACGCGAAGCGCACGGAACGGCTGCTGCCGCAGCTCTGGCCGCAGGGCGCGCACAGGCCAGTGCTCACGGCCACGTTGCCGGTGCAGGGGGCGCTGCACACGCTGCCGGTCACCGGGCGGGAGCCCGACACGCACAGGTCCCCGCACACGACCCCGCCCCGGGAGCTGCTGACACCTGCGGGAGGAGGACAGGCGATCACTGGGGCCCCACCTGCAGGCCTGAGTCCCCTTCTCTCGCTCAGAGCCCCCTCCCCTCTGGCACATGCGCACTTGGGCACTCCCACCTACAGTCTAACCTGAGCATCCTGAAAGCATTAGCTCAGGCCTTTCTTTCTTAGCTCAGGTGGCAGTTCAGCGACCTAGGCTACCATAACCGCACGGGCCCTTTAAGATAACGTGTGCCCACCCCGGATCCCAAGCCCGGGATTGGGAGAGGTTACTTACAAACGTTGACAGCTCCCACACCCTCACACAACCTTGGGAGAGCAAAGAGAAAATAATTACTTGCAGGGGACACAGATGGTGAAATATTTATGCAAACTAGATTACATAATATGCAAATTGTTCCTGCAGCACTACCTAAGGGGGAGACTTAGAGACACTTCCCACAGGTGTGTGGAGCTCACCTCTGCTCTTCACCCTCCAGCAGGCGGCGGTAGGTGGCGATCTCGATGTCCAGGCCCAGCTTGGAGTTCATCACCTCCTGGTACTCCTTGAGCAGGCACGCCATGTCCTGCTTGGCCTTCTGCAGGGCCTCCTCCAGCCCCGCCAGCTTGCAGCGGGCGTCGCTCAGGGCCGCCTCGCCCTGCTGCTCAGACTGCGTCACGGCTGCCTCCAGCTTGGTGTTCTGGGGACCCGCAAGAGAACAGGCTGGGTTCTGCTCCCTGGGCCTCTCTGCCCCTGGCCTGAGCTGCTCCAGGCTCTCCCAGGCTCTCTCCTGCCGGGAGCATCTCCCCGACAAGGCCCCTGGCCATCCTCACCCGGTCTCCCTGAGCGACCACCACCAGGGACTCCAGTCTGGCCAATGGGCTGGAGGGCGAGTGCTGGGGTTCCCACAGGGCTTGGGCCCCATCGCTCCGGCCCCGGCACAGCTGGCCGTACCTGGCACTTGGCGTTCTCCACCTCGGCCGTCAGCCTCTGGATCATGCGGTTCAGCTCGTTGATCTCCTCCTTGGTGCGGCGCAGGGTCTCCCCGTGCCGGATCACCGTGGCCTTCATCTCCTCGCACTGGGGTGGGGGGAGCGCAGGTGCCTCTGAGGCTCAGCACCCACGAGCCCTGTCCTCAGGTCAGCACCACTGGGATGGCGCGAGTTGAACAGTGCTCAGCCTGTGCACCCACACGGGGCGGCCTGTTCTCACCACCCTCAGGGGGCCGACCCCAGCCTTCTCTGTGGGACGCCCCGTGTCCCTCCCACTTGGTGCCTGGGGTCACTCACCTTGCTGCGGTACCAGGACTCGGCCTCAGCCCGGCTGCGGGTGGCGATGTCGTCGTACTGAGCCTTGATCTCGGCCACAACGCAGTCCATGTTCAGGTCCCGGCTGTTGTCCATCTTGACCACGACCGAGGTGTCGGAGATGTGGGCGTGCAGCACACGGATCTCCTGTGGGAGGAGGTTGGTGGTCTGGACCCCTTGGAACACAGCCCCATCCATCGAAGCCCCCCTTGCCTTCCCCCTGCCTCCTCAGACAACCCCACTGGCTGAAGCCCTCCTGCCAAGTCGCAGAATTCCTCAGGCCCCCTCCATGCGCCACAGGCCTAGGGTCCTGAGGCTGCGAGGTGGGGGAGCAGGCCAGCCCCTTGCCTGAGGTCCATAGCCTGATTTCGCTCCCAGCTGTAGGCTTTGGACATGGGACCTGTGATCAGGGTTAGCACCCTGAGCAGAGGGACCGGCTGTTCTGTGGTGTGGGACATGGGATGTCCAGCCGGGCAGCCTGGCTTCCAACAGAAACCTGCCTTGGGCTCTCAACTTCATGCCCCCTCCCACCCTGCAGTGGGGGTCAGGGGTCAGGGACATCCACCTCAGGTCCTCTTGCCGGCCCCTCACCTCCTCGTACAGGTGCCGCAGGAAGTCGATCTCCTGGGTCAGCGCCTCCACGTTGGCCTCCAGGTCTGCACGGCGGAGGTAGGCGCAGTCCACGTCCTGTAGGGGCAGTGACACTGGGAAGTTCCCCGGGGCCACCATGTGGGGCTTTTGTGTTTGCCCTCCTGGAGCGGGGCACCCCATCGGGCTGAGCCAACTCCCCGGAGACCCTCCAGGGGAGCTCCTCCCAGCGCTTGGCCTTGTGGCTTTCACACGGCAGGGGGAGGAGCAGGTTCCGGAGAGGGACGGTTTCCAGAACCTTCTGCAGAGCATTGGTCTAGAATCCGCGTCTTGCACCATCATCAGAACTTAAGATCTAGTGTGAACCAGGTCGGTTCTCACGATGCCCGCCCCTCCCTGCCCTGGAACTTCATGGAAAGAAATCTCGAGGTGGGGCCAGCAGCCCTGCCCGGGTTGGCTCTTCACCCCTGGACTTCCCTGCCTTGTAACTGCCCACCCTGAGCCGGACAGGGAAGGCGGTGGGAGAAGGGGCAGGGGACAGGCTGGGGCTGTGCTGTCATCTCCAGAGGTCCCCGGGAGCCTGTGCCCTGGCTCCTAGCAGGAGGGGAGAGGGCTCTGGCCTCACTCACCTTCTTCAGGGTCACAAATTCATTCTCAGCCGTGGCCCTTAGTGCCACCTCCTCTTCATACCTGGAGACAGACGGGGGACACAAGGCTCAGAGTTGAGAAGCAACGGGAGGAAGAGACTCGCAAAGACACATCCCAGCGACTGGATGTTTTGCAGGAGGTTGCCGGGGGCACAGGGTCTACCCCTCGCCTCTGGGTGCTGGGGCAGACCCGCGTCATCCACAGCACTTCCCATCACAGGGGACCCTTGCTCCTGGGCAGGGAGGGTGCCTGGCACATTTCCAAAGGCCCCTCTCTGCCCAGGGCTGGAGCTCCCTGGGGGGCAGGAGCTGCACCCCAGCTCTGGGACGCAGCCCCTTTCTCCTCCTCCTCCCTTTTCTCACCCCTCCCCACTCGGCCCAACGCAGTACCATGAGCATCTGTGGATGAACAAATGAAATAACCACATAATGATGAGACGCTAGGAATCCCCAGCCCTCACAGGCCGGGGGGGTTCTCCTCCAACCCCCTCACTTCTCATCATTGTCTTCTTCCCCTTGGGAAGTTCCTCTTGTGGTCTAACCCAAATCTGCCCTGCTGTTAGGCTCATTTTGTCTCTCCAAACCCTCCTCCCGGCCACACTCACTTCTTCTTGTAGCCCTCCAGCACCTCTTGCACGTGGTTGAGCTCCGACGACAGCCGCCCGCTGTCGGCCTCCACGCACTCAGCCTCGCGCCGCAGCGTCTCGATGTAGCCCTCAAACAGCGGCTCCAGGTTGCTCTCGCAGCACTTGCGGTTCTGGAAGAACTGCAGCTTGGTCTCCAGCAGCTTGTTCTGCTGCTCCAGGAAGCGCACCTGCGAGGGGGCGGGGAGAAAAGTCGGTGGGAGGAGCCCACGCCCTGGCCCTTCTTACAGCCAGGCTTAGCAGAGTTAAGACCATTAGCAGTGAGATGTTCAAATGGCTGGGGCTGATTGAGGGTCTGTTTGTCCAGTGGACCTGCGCTGGATGAGTGAGAAATCGAGAG